CTATTTCTATCATTGCTTTCGTGGGGTTACTTATTTTTCTTTTTCATTTTACATGTAAAGGACTGTGTCTCTCAGGAACTATGATTTGATTATTGTTTGGATTCATAGAATGGAAGGTAATATGCTTCCTAAGTTAAGCCCCACAGACTTGGGTACTTTCATTAGGAGAAGAGTAGAATGTTTATATGTGGAATCTAAGAAACAAAACCAACAAAACAAAACAGAAACAGAATCACAGATACAGAGAACAACCTGTAGGTTACCAGAGTGGGGAGTGGTTGAGAGAGAGAGGTACAATAGGTGAAGGGGATTAAGAGGTACAAACTTCCAGTTACAAAACAAATAAGTCACAGAGATATAATATACAGCACAGGTGATAATCAATAATGTAATAACTTTCATGGTGGCAGATAGTAACTAGACCTATGATAGTGATCATTTCAAATGCATAAAAATATCAAATCACTATGTTCTACCTGACACTAATGTAAGATTGCATGTCAATTATAATTCAATTTCTTCATGTAAATAAATAAATATCCACCTATGGCCAGTGACTCTTGGAACAAAAAGAGAGCGAGAAGGGGAGAATGTTGACGGGAAGCCAACAGACAGCATGTTAAAATTTATACTACTCGAGACTCACATGTCACATCTCACCCTTAACTTACCTCTTAGAAACAGCAAGCTAAATGTCCCACTACAGTCACTCAGATTGTCAAGGGTGTGAGCACTGTATGTTTTTAAAGTCACTGACTTTATTATTCTATAAATGTATACCATAAAGTCAATCAGTCATGAAAATTGCGATGAAAATGCAGAGGTTGCCAGAGGCCAGAGGTTAGTACAAACAGGGAAGGGGGGACTGTCGGGGAATCCAGGTCAATGTTTAGTATCACCTAGTGCCTCCAACAGCGTATGGAATAATGGGGAGATTGACAAGAATGATTGTGAGGATATGATTTTTTCTAACCCATATGAATGTGAATTAGAGGGGCGTTTTATACTTCTTTGCCTCTGAATCAGAAAAATCTAAAAATGAGGGGTGCCTGGGTAGCTCAGTCAGTTAAGTGTCCAACTATTGATCTCAGCTCAGGCCTTGATCTCAGGGTGGTGAGTTCAAGCTCCACTGAGCTCGAAGCCCACGCTGGGCATGGAGCCTACTTTTAAAAAAATAGAAAAAGAAAAATCTAAAAGCGCACGGAAGGTACCACCGCTTAAGTTTCCCTCCTTGGGGATTACCAATTTATCAACAAAGGACTCTTATTGTCAGAAACATGAATGTCCTTCTTCCTGGTTTCTATGCCAAGAACAAAGAACAGGAGAGGCACCTGGGTGGCTCAGTCAGTTGAGCGTCCGACTTCAGCTCAGATCATGATCTTGCAGTCCGTGAGTTCAAGCCCTGCGTCTCTGTGCTGACAGCTCAGAGCCTGGAGCCTGTTTCAGATTCTGTGTCTCCCTCTCTCTTTGACCCTCCCCCATTCATGCTCTGTCTCTCTCTGTCTCAAAAATGGATAAATGTTTAAAAAAATTTTTTTTAAAGAATAGAGAACAGGAAAGTTTGAGGCATGATAAACTGTCATCCTTAGTTTGCCCCTGAGGAATCGTTAAGACTTTGGGCAAAATATACCACACTGAGATGCTGCCTGTGGTATCTCAAGATGTCTATTCTCAGAGATATATCCCAAATCTACCTACAAGACTTTGAGCATGGCAGAGAAACAAATAAGAAAATGCTAATATGACTTATTGACACCAGAGCCTCTTCATGTACCAAAAGTGCTCACAGTAAAATACAAGATAGTACTGAACCAAAGATCTTAAGTCTTAAAGGTCTATTACAAAATTATGCTTCAAAAGAAATAGGGGTGCAGAATAAATCACTTATGCATCAAAACCTTCCACCATATCCATGTGGAGAATTTCCTATTGGTTGCTGAAACAAGGAAGTCAGAGATTTTGACAGTAACGGAGATGAGGATCAAATTGTACAGAGAAGGGGAAAGACCACAAGGAGGGGAAAGGGAAGCACAGAAAACAGAATGATAGAAATACTTTTACCAAGAGCATATAGAGAAAAGTAACTTAAATGTGGAGATTTCATAAACATTTTGGGGGGGGGAAGAAAGTAACTATTCTGTAATAGATTCTGTTAAGTATCCAGGAATATATCAACTTGGGGAATTAAAAAGACTCTAGGATTGAGGTCATTCACATAGAAGATATGGGGCTTCCATGGAACCAAGGCCACTGCAATGTGATACTGGTTTGGGGTCAATTGAACAGTCAGTAATATATGACTTGAATCATTACAATCAGCTTTGTCTCTCCTACCCTGAGAAACCTCACTTTTCATCACTCACCTTTTTCCTTCAGATCTCCAAAGGGTCAACAATGAAAAATAGGACGTTTACTGAGTTCATCCTGTTGGGCTTCACAAATCAACCTGAGGTCCAAGTTGTGATATTCATCTTTCTGCTCCTCACTTATGTGATAAGTGTCCTAGGAAATCTGACCATCATCATTCTCACTCAGGTACACCCTCACCTCCAGACCCCCATGTATTTCTTCCTCCGGAATTTCTCCTTCTTAGAAATTTCCTTCACATCCATTTTTATTCCCAGATTTCTGACCAGCGTGACAACAGGAAATAAAGTCATCAGTTTTGCTGGATGCTTCATTCAATATTTTTTTGCTATATTCCTTGGGGCAACAGAGTTTTACCTCTTGGCTTCTATGTCCTATGACCGCTATGTTGCCATCTGCAAACCCCTGCATTACCTGAACATCATGAGCAACAGAGTCTGCATACAACTCGTGTTCTGCTC